TGGTGGTTGAAAATTCTCTGGACATTTTGTATGAGGAATGGAACATCATAATGTATTTATCTGGGTCATTGACCTTTACAGTTTTGAAAGCCTAGCAATTGTTAAGGCATTTAAGTGAGAGTTGGCAAAAAAGGCATACAAAATTCAATATGCAATAGATTCAAAATTACCAGCAGGAGAGCAATCAAGATTGTGGAATAAAATTCTCCGAGTAATTGTTGATTATATGAATAATACAAAGACAAGTTTAATAGATATGCCACCTGTTAGTGAAATGAAGTCGAAAGAAGTGATCTCTAAACCATCCATCAAACCCAAAAGACCTATTGGGGAAGATGAAGATCAAATACCACTGTTAGATACCTATTAAAACCTGGTGAACTAGAAGGCAGACATACATGCTGAGCAACTGATCCATACTGGAGTCTACATGTTTATCGAATTGGAAGAATTGTTGGAAAAAATCTGCCACAGCCAGTCTTATATTATTTAGAGAAGAACCAGTTGAATCAACCCAACATTTAATGGCTGTGATCCTCGTTGACCATTTAAGCATGAAGAATTGTAAATCGTAGATATGGAAAGTTTAGAGTACCCACCAGATGAATTTATCCAAAAATATCATTATCAAACCATTAACCATGTGACTTCAAAACCAGTGTATCCTCGAAATATACCATTATCAATTGGAACAATCTTAGTGGTAGCCGTTCTTGCTTAAAGCTTTTCTTATAAAAGTTTCAATATGGTATTTCGATGATTTTTAAATTTAATAACTTAAAATTCAAAAGACACAAATTATGGTACTTTTCTAAAATATTGAAGTAATAACATACATATATGTATAGTATACATTATTTAATATAAAATTTTTTTATGTGGAAGGAAATCTGTACAAAAAAAAAAAATAAAATAAATAAAAGGAAAAATATCCAGCAACTCTTTTTTTTTCCGGAAGTTAAAATTTTTTAAAGGAAAATCCGGATTTTTAAAGTACTATTTCCAGCCCTGATAAGGACTATATACTTGCTAATACATTTTTAATTAGGCTTTGTAAATCATTACCTAAACAGAAAAAATACACAATCAGCTTTCGAAGTTCGCCTTAATATGATCAGATGCACTTAGTTTGCCGGTCATGAGTTTTCCTGGTTAACATCACAACTGTACCAAATATTTTAACCCATTTTTATCTTTAAATATAAATTATTTATTTTCTTTGCAGTATTATCAGGTTTATTTTCAGAGCTATTATTACCAATAATTAATTAAGTCAGCATATTTCTTCCTATGTAGAATAACATGGTCTAGTCTTATTCATTTGATCTGTTTATTCATTACATCAAAGAAATAATTTATTCTCTCTTCATGGGTAAGTTTCAGACCCTAGTGGTCCTCCCTATGGTGCTTTGATTTTCTAGCTATACTAACTATACATACATGTGGTAGAAATAAGTTGATCACTTGACTCAATCAGGTGACTTTTTGATGCAGTCATATGAAAAACAAATAATTGTGTCAGACACAATTAAAAATTGAGGTTTTGAGAATTGAGTCAAAGCCGAATTAATTTTGACAACATGTATAAATCCTAACATCATCATTCATAAAGCTCTTCAGATCCAATGAACCCTTCAACTAATATAAAATCTGCTGGCTTTTTTGGTTCAGTAGCATTATCATAAAAAGTTAGTCCAATGGTCGCACCCCTTTTACCTCCAACAGTTCCTTTTCTCAAAAGTCTATCAATTTTGTTTCTTGGCGGATAGATGCTTTGGGATTATCCTAATCAATGGGAGCTTTAATTGTTTTGCAAAGATGATCAGTGGTAATGGAAAACATTCTTTTTTGCAAATCCTCAGAAATACATTTGATCAAGTTTCTCCACCAACCATTATTAATATTGGTTTATTCTTTTCTGAACAACATGTGCACTAATTTGGACACACTACTACTATTTAATAATTCAACACTTATTTAAAAATATAGAGTTCTTGAGTTCTATACTTTGTTTAAATTTAGTAGGTCTTTACTTTGCTATGTTGTCATAGTTGTGTATATGCTACAGTACACAAAAATTAGCCAATTTATTAGTTTTCTCCCCTTTATTGTTAAGAATATAATTCTTTTGTCCAACTGGTTTTTTAATAATTCTTCAACAACACAGATAGTAAAACATATAAATATTGCCCAGTCAGATAGGTGGAAGAGTCTTTTAGAATACTCGCAATATTGCAAAAATTACAATGTTTCAGCTAGTGTTGGTCGCCAAAACTATTTCGAAGAGGCGAAAGTCAAAACTAAAATTCAAAGTTATATGTCAATACTACTAAATCAAAAGTCAATAGTCAAAAATCAAAATTAGTTTCGACTTATGGCGAAACCTTTTGACTTTCGCATGATTGCAAAGCTCTAATTTTGGAAACCAATACTAGTTTCTGCCAGCAAATTTGCAGAACATAAATTTTATGTTAATTGTATTTGACATACATACTGCAACAAACACTAAAGATAATGATAAAAGCTCTTGCTGCTTCGATTTAAGATCTATACAACTATCATGTGTTGAGATAAGACTAGGGTTTTACTAGTTCGGTTCGGTTTCGGTCCAAGACCACTGGTTTAAAAGACTGGTTAAAGACCAGTTAAAGTAAAATTTCTTCATTATTTAATGTAATAATCATGAATTTTATTATTTTGCATCCATGAATTTAAAATATAATTGCGATTATTTAACTCACGTGACATTAAATCACTTGTTGAATTATTGGCAGAAGAGAGATTTGAGTTGCCTGTGTTTGGATAGAATTAATCAATTTAAAAAGTTTTTCGAAATCCAAAATCGAAAATTCGAATAGAAATCAAAGATAGTTCGAAATTGATTAAAATGGCATCATATCACCTTTGTGAATCTGGTAAATAAAGATTCCGAGTTGCCAATTTTGAGAATTATTGCAAGTTTCTTTATTGAATTTCTCAACACACCTATTGAAATTATCATGTAGTTATCCGCAAAAAATATCGCAATCACCAAATCGATTTCTAAATAAGGATAACACGCACCCAACCCGCCAATAAAATTGGATATTCTCATAATGCTGCGGATATTTTTGCGTACATGATTATCATTTTGGAAAGCGCTCCATGTTTTTGATACATATATATCTTTAAGATTCAGTTTTTAATGCAGTATGATACTGAAGATCACACCACTTCTGTGAATTTCCCATAGTAAAAGTAAATCCCCAGTAGGAAGGAAAGCTTACATGACCCAGGATATAATAGTATATATATATATATCTTACAAACGGATTTACCTTATTTTAAAAATATATAGAAGATTTATAGTGATTGCACCACCAAGGCCAGATCTTCATATAGTATAGTTTACGAAGCGAAAGAACAGACATCTAGTGAAGGGTATATGGAGAGCACACGCATTAAGGCATGTATCATAAAACGTTAGCCATGCATTAGATTCTATTCTCAGAAAAATGACAAGGACTTTGATCAAGTAGAAAGATAAATAGTTCTAACCCACGTGTTCGAGTAAATTGATTATGACATAGGCGTATAAAATCAGGGCATCATATAGTTCAGCTAATGGTATTGTGTCCTAAAATGGAACTGCTGAGAAATGGCCCATGTGCTAAATAAATGTACAAATAGAGGAAAAATTTAAAAAAATTTTTAAGAAAAATATATAAAAACTTGTGTTGACTGATTCCCTATTGCAGAGATGGAAACAGAAATCAAAAAAATAGACTTAAATTAAAATTGATTTAGTTCTACGAATAATGATTTAGTCATGATTAATTAAAAAAAAAAAAACAAAAAAATTAAATAGATTATTCGACTTATTAAACAAATTAATTAATAAAAGCAATTTTGACGTTAGAAGTACTATTTTATAATATAAATTGTGCCAGTTGTAAATATAATTTATTTTGAAACAATAAATGAAATAGAAAATCTCTTGGTTGAGATGAAATAAATAGAAAAGTATTAGAAGATTAATTGATAAATATGGAAATGAAGAATCATCTAGATTTCTTTATCGATGTAAACTAAATGCAAAAAACAATCATTATATTAAATTGATTTTATATAATGAATTTAGGAATAAAGTAACTCGGGTTATCCTTATGGTGTCATATTAAAAAAGAATATATAATTCCGGTGATAAATTTTAGATATTTTAAAGGGTTGATATTTATTGATTATCACTTAATATTAATATAGCAATTCTAATCGAATAAGGTTTTATTCGAATTATTTGTTTTGTCGTTATGAATTGAGTATTCGAATTACATTGAAAGTTTATTCGAATAAAACAAATAGAACGAATAATTAGAATAAGAATTTGTGTTACGTGTAGAAACTCTATATGGAAGTAAATAATATATCAAGTATTATCCATTACTACTAAAGTATTATTACTGCTATACTTGAATAGGTAGGTTATTACTGTGATGCAATTATTCTAGGTTCCAAAGTTTTGAAGTAAATGTGCTTGCCTTTTTTTCGGGTGAAATGTTAGTTGTAAACTCATCAACATATCTCGTTATCGTCCTCTTCTTCTTATTCCGTCAATCCTTGTGCTATTTCCTGTTCAGGTTTACAATTGTTCTTGAACTATTTGCGACAACAAGGTCCAATACATTTTTGCTGGTTCCCTTTCATTCTGTAGAAGTAAAATAATATTAAAAACACTGCTTTCGAATTATAAATCAATTAAAGTAAAAAGAAAGTATGCGTAAAATTTAAGTTTGCGTCAATCTTAATTATATTGGCACGTTTTAAATTTCACATAAAATTGTCGATTCAAGCCCAATAAGAAATTTCCCTAGATATCAAAATTAATTGACTCTCTTGAATTATGAACATGATATTTACCCTCCTAGTAAGAAAACAACAGAAATTCATTTGATATAAACATCGAGTTTTATTATATCTGTGAGATGTGTGTCGTCGACTTTGATTTGATTGCCCAATAAACTATGCTACATTTTTATACATATTACAAATATTCAATACTTACATTTGATAAAGCAATTGCAGGTACCTTTTTGGTACAGCAACCTTCAAGTCGGGAAAATGCACCAATAAAGTTGATTTTACGTTTAGCAAATTTAAAGGTGTAATGTAACCCTTATACAGCTAATAAGTACAGTACCCAAAAGGATTATATTTTGGATTATTAGTTTTTATTGATGTATTCAACATATGTTTCTTATAATTAATTAAAGAATTGTGTTCATATTTTTATTGGACATCGAGGAGTCGAATTATTCTTTGTTCGAAAACGCGTGGAGAGAAACCCTTTCAAGTAATCCTATTAAATCAGGGAAATGATTTTCTGAAAACCGCAGAAATACATGACTCACGTAACAGCATTTTTGATTGGCGGTGTGGCGCAAAAAAGTTGTGACTTACACCATATCGCGTAACATATACTAATCGCCAATCAAAATTCGAAAACTTAGTCATGCGAGTAAAATATCACGTGAAACTAAGGTTGCTTAATGACTGCGAAACTCCATTAATTGTCAAATACCCCAAATGCGAAACTCTAATAAACAATTAGTGTATAACCTACTGAAATTCTGCCAATTGATTTTTGGTGGAGTTTTGGCAAACAACCATACATGAAGCTGACTTGATTATTTAATATGGTATGGAATCAAAGGTTTCACTAAGCCTATTCATGAATTATATGATGTTCCGCCATGAACAATCTGTGAGTGTTACCAATATAAATTCAACCAAGCATTCTAATATAAAAAGAACAAAGAATCAAGAATTAATTAATTCGTTTTAAAAACAATAATTTTTTTTATTCGTGTTTAGTAATTTAACCACTGGAATGGTTTTGTAACATAATGTTCACTTTATCTACTTTGTCTGATTTTTGTTACTGTACAATCACTCTTGTATAATTGAGCCAAACATAACAAATATCAATTAATAATTAATAATATATATAATCAGTTTTATTTCAATTTATATTATAATTACATCCCCCGTAAGTATGAGGTAAATATATGTACAGAGGGTGATCACGGGTTTCCGAACGATAAGTATTTTTTATTTTTTTTTGCTTTGTTTACATCATTTACGCGTATATTTCTAATTTAAGCATTTATTTAGCATGTAGATCATAACAATAACAATAATTCACAAATACAAATGGGTAAAAAAAAAGAGTTAACGGCTGAACAATATGGGGCAATTCTTTATGGCCACAAACGAGGTGATTCATATCAGAAAATTGCTGACAATGTCCAATGTGGCAAAACGACTGTCCATGATGCGATAAAACGTTTCAAAAAAACGGGTTCTGCAATACCAAAAAAACGTTGCGGCCCAAAGCCACTTTTTGATTCCAATGCACAAGCCTCACTCAAAAAGATCGTTACACAAAATTCGAAGCATCGCCGCCTCACCACTCATAAAATTCAGGAATTATGGATTAAAAAAAAAAAGAAGAAAGTTTCAACTGTTACAATTCGTCGAACCCTTAAAAAAGTTGGTTTACGTTCATGTGTTGCTCGCTCTAAACCATTAATTTCTGAAAATAACAAAACCAAAAGATTGGCTTGGGCTTTGGAACGAAAAGATTGGACAATTGCAAAGTGGAAGAAAATTGTATGGTCTGATGAATCAACATTTAGTCAATTTTCACAAGGTCGTAGCTTACGTGTGTGGCGTACACCAGAAGAAGAATTTGATCCTTCTTGTTTAACTGCTACGGTAAAGCACAGTCCC